AAGTGCATAATAGCAAATAAAAACAATATTTATAATTATAATAAAATTATGAAATAAATGGCAAAATAAGTGAATTAATTAATCAATATTAATAATAAATAAATAAGTGATTAAGAAAGAGTAATAAATAAGTAAATAATAGTAATAAAAATAATACAAATAAATTAGTAACAACAATAATCATAGATGATAATGAAAATAATAATAACAAATTATAAAATTATTGTTAACAATATGATTCTCCTAAATATATTCCTTCATGATAAGTGCATTCTCCTATAAAATATTCCTTCGTGAAGGTAGCTACATTATTTTTTTAAAAAAACGTTCCTATATAAAAGAGGATTATTTTATTACTGTTATTCATATAAAATACATATAATATGTTTAAAACTGTTAATTTAAGTTGTTTAATACATTAGGTTAGTTTATTGTCATAATAATTTTTGCAAAAATATGTATCTGGATCATTTTATTTGATTTTGGTACTCCTGTTAATGACCCTGTGTGCGCGCGATAAAGGAAATAAAAACGTATTTTAAATTTAATTGTACTTAATATAAATTACTTTAGAAAGAAATATAGACTTTATTTGCTTTATTTTAATAATGTAAATATTTAAGTATGTAACGATTAGCGAAAATAATGCAATTGGATCAACTATGGCACCCCTAATAATGATATGTCACTTTGACATTTCATACGTCATTTTTGCAATCGACAATTCGCCTGTCATTAAATAATTACTTTTAATTCTTTTATCGACATAATATGTTTTTGCATATATACAAGGTCTCTAAATAACTCAAACGGACCTCGATTATGATTCCAGTGCTTCCAAAACTTTCATCCATCCATGCAAATTCAATGAAGTCACATTATTGATTTCTTTCTCTTCTAGACGATTGTTCGAAATCAGCGAAAAAGATGCAGACAGCTACGATGCCTGTAAGGAGCGCTTCGACGCCGCCGTTAATGTTATAAGAAGTATGCAAAGAATGGCACATTTCAGCCGAGCCATGAAATGATGCTGAGATTCTACAGTTTTTACAAACAAGCCACATTGGGTCCCTGCAAACAACGAAGGCCTGCCTTCTGGGACGTTGTCAACAGAGCGAAATGGGACGCCTGGAATAAACTAGGTGACATGCCGGCTGAAGAAGCCATGTTATTATACATAGCCGATTTGGGTAAAATCATCGAAACCATGGCTTACACAGACAACGTTGCTAGTTTCATACAGAGCGTTGAAGGAGTTGAAGGTTTATCTCTAGACATGCTTGAAGCTGTAGCCCCTAACGCTATACAAAAAAGTTCGATCCACACCAGACATCTCCCATCACTTCGCGAGAAGTCAGTCATATACGAGATGAAAAAACTTGTTTATGGTATTAAAACAAACGGTGTGCACCATTCAGAAAACACCTGACAACTCTGAAGACGAGTATATTGATACCGTAGAAAGTGAGCATGAATTAACAACGTCCAAAGCTAAAGTA